ATTACCATTATTATTATCATTATTATTATTAGTATTAGTATTATTATTATTATTATTATTAGTAGTATTATGATTATTATTTTTATTATTATGATTATTATTATTATTAATATTGTTATTATTAGTATCATGATTATCATTAGTATTATTATTATCATTATTAATATTATTATTATTATTATTATTACTATTAGTATTATTATTATTACTGTTATTATTATTATCCTTATTATTATGAATATTATGAGCATTAGTATTATTATCATTAGTATTATTATGATTTAGTACTATTGTTATTATTGTGATTATTATTATGATTATTGTTATTAGTATTACTATTATTATTTATTATTATTAGTATTCTTATTATTAGTATTATTACTATTATCATTATTATTATTATTATTATTATTAATAATATTCGTAGTGTTATTATTGTTGTTGGTGTTGTTGTTGTTATTATTATTGTTGGTCTTATTATTACTGTTGTTATTAGTATTATTATTATGTTTATTATTCTTATGTTTATTAGTATTCTTATTTCTCTTGTCATATTCTTCTTCGCCTTATTATTATTTTATTATCATTATCATTCGAACATCGGCAATCCATGGGCGATTGGGGGTCGATGCTTCCCCCCTGTGCAAACCCCCCTATCGTTGGGGTCGGGCAGGTCCCCTTACAGGCAAATTTGGGAGGACAAGTTTAGAACAGCCAAAATAAATAACCCCAAGTAATAGGAAAATCGTCACCACAGTATATTCGGAGTATTTTTGCATACTCCTCCTGTAGAGGGACATGCCCGATTTAACCCTATCGTTGCACCCGATCCGAGCAGCCGTGGCCGCTACCGCCGCCCGGCGGCGCAGGAACCGCCCATGGCGGGCGGGGGAGTCGTCCCGTCGCTCGGACGTCCATTCCCCCGGGCGCTCTTCGTTTTTTCGTGCGCGTTTTTCCCCCAGACGCGAGGGAGGCCCGAGCCAGCCCCGATCGAGTCCCTGAACCCCCCCCGACCCGAGCGATCGAAATCGTCGCAAACTCGGGCCGACGCAGCCCCGACCCTCCGGTGGGCCAGGGCCGCCCTAGCGCCAGCACTTAGAGCCTTGATGCGAGAGCGGGCGGGTGCAGCAGCGGCTTCTGCGCCTCGGTGAGCCAAATGGTCAGCCATACCATCGCCACGGGAAGCGACGGGGTATTGGCCAGCCCTTGAACGAGAACCAGCATCCACGCGAGAGAAACATTGACGCAGGACGACCTGACCTGGACCTCTGCTGGCGAGGGCGCCACACACACACACACACACACACGGGTCCACCGTCGAGCGAGGCCCCCCGTGGGGTTCAGGGCAAAATCACGGCGCCAACCGCCAAAGACAGGCGCGCGCTCGGCCCGGAGCGGGGCCCGCGGTGACCTCAGCCCCGCTTCACTTTAACCGAAAATTCCCCCCCACCACCCACCCACCCACCCCCCACCCCACGCACATCTTTACTTTTTACGATTACAAGAACCCACATCCCCACCTGGCCGGCCGATGGAAACCCCGCCGTCCGAACTGTCAAAAAAACATGCAACATGTCGTCGAGTTGCGCAAGATGCAACAGGAATGGGACGGAAAGAACATCGCTCGGGAGGCCCTAAGCGGGCGGTCGCGCCCTACCGATCAACAAAAAACAATACAAAGTCAACGTTTTGTTCGTCAACATGGACTTTCTTGTCGTCGACGCTGCGAAGTGTAGCACGAATGGGACGCGGCGCACATCGCGCGCGGACGCCTGGCCAACCCTACGCGGGACCCCCGTCGTACCTGTCAAAGAACTCTGCAACGTCAACGTTTTTCTTGCCAACATGTATTTTCTCCTCGTCGGCGCTGCGAACCGCGCAGCGGGAATGGGACGCGACGCACATCGCGCGGGGACGCTTGCTCGTCAACATGGACTTTCTCGTCGTCGACGCCCGTCGGGTTGAGGAGCTGGGCGGGCGGCAAGTCAGAATGACTCAAGCAACTGCGGTTCAAGCAAGTGCCTCAGGAGACCCCCAAGAGGTCGAAACAAGGCGTCCAGGAGGTCCTGGGGGGCAACACAAATATTGATATACATTTGGTGCTTTGAAACATTGGTGAGGTTAGCACCTACTTGCGTTGACAATGTTCCAACCCGGAAGGTATATCCAAGAGGCCCTCAGGCGCATGCCAGAAAGCTCCCAGGACGCCCCGCGAATAGCCAAGAGGCATTCTCCTCTTCCTCCTCAGTTTCCCCCTGCCTCCCTCCCTCCCTCCCCTCCTCCTCCTCCCCCTCCTCCTCCCCCCCCTCCATGCGCGGCAGGAGCGAAACGATTGGCGGTGCAACGCGCGTGGCTGGAATGAGACGCGGCGCGCTTCGCGCACTGGGCATGTTTCGCCGACGATGCAACATGAGAGGCCGGAGCGGGGCGCGGCGTACATCGCGCGCGGTCTTGTTTCTCGTCGACGTTGCTCAGTACGCGGCAGGAATAGGACGCAGCTCGCGTCGCGTGCTGAACGTCTAGCCGCCGACGACATAAGATGAGCGACAGGCGTCGGACGCGACGCACTTGCTTCTTATGTTGCGGGAGGGCGGGTGGGAGTGGACGGAGCCCTCTGGCTGGTTCGAGCTGGCTAACTCGACACCCACCCCACCCCGCCCGACACGGCGCAAACGGGCATCGCTGGATTCGGCGGAGCCGCCAAAGGAACACACCCACTCGGGCACGGAGGGCGCAAAGCGGAGTCGAGGTCAAGGGGGGGGGGGGGGGGCATCGCCCACACTTCCTGGCCTTCACCAGAATTCCACTCTGGGGGGGCGGGCGCAGCATTCCAGCTAGGGGGGGCCAGGGGGGACGGGGGGGGGGGGGGGGGGGCGACCCCCCTGGCCCAAGAAAACCCTCTCGCAGCATCACACAGCGACCCAGCGCGATCCACTCACTCATGTTCAAATGTCAGCGCTGGCCGAGCAGAAGAAGACTCGATGGGGGGCGGTGACTTGCGCGCGCTCGCACCCCGGGCAGTCATCTTCGCACTTGTGCCCAGCGGCCTCGGCCCTGGCTTCGGCCCGAATGCTGGCCAGAGCGTTGGACTCCAGGGCGCCAGCCTCACGTCGGCGCCCCCGACGACGGAGCCAGCGGAGGTTGATGCGAAGCACGCGCGCGTCTCCCCCCTCCGCCACGCCGGCGCCAGCAAGGCGCCCGCCTGCCCGGCGCCGGAGGCCCCCCCTCGCAGGACTCCGCAACGCACCAGAGAACTCGCTGCAGTCGTCGCCCCAGTCGCCCTTGCGCCGCCACCCGCCACCCCGGTCGCCGATCCAGACGTCGGGGGGCCCATGCGCCCAGCCCAGCTCCTGCAAGCCCAGGGCCCCAATGGGCCCTGAGGTGCACCTCCATCTCACTGTCGCGAAGGGGCCCTGGGTTTCGCCCTCCCCCAACTTCCCATATTTCCCAATATTTTCCTGGGAGTCGGCGGTTCATTGCGTCTGCGTGCTCCTTCCCCTCCCCGCCCCTGGTCACGCGCACGCGAGCCTCTTGAGCGCTACTCTCCATTCGCGCCGCGCCTGCTCGCGAAGCTCTGGGCGCGACCCCCCCCGGACTGGCGCCAGCAACCGGCGCTTGACATGCCCCACGTTCGCGCCCATCTCGCGCCCGTCGCCCCGGCGGCGCAGGAGGGAGACGGACGCAGCGCGCCCCCCCCCGACGGCGTTCCCAGCCAACCCAGCAGCTCGAGCACGCCCTCACTTCCGAGGGGCGGGGGGGGCGCCCAGCGCTGCGCTGGGTCCGCGTACCCCAACTTGGCTTCGATGTTCGCGCCGCGCAGCACGGCGCCCGCGGCCCTCTGCCACCGCGCCCACCCCTTCGAAACAAGGACGCGCGCGTCGCTCGAGCTTGGACCAAGGTCATCACGTCTCTCGACGTCGTGCCAACACGCCCGGCACCCATTGCGCAGTCGGCCAAGGTACTCGGCCCATCAAACTCGCTCGACCTCGATGTCAGCCGCGCGAAGACTGTGTTTCTGGACTTTGATCTCGCCCTTAGCATGGGCCATCATGAGCACTGGCTTGTGAAAGACCCTCTGCCTGTTGCCCGGGGCTTTTTGGCCCTTGGACCGGCGCGGCGGGCGCCGCCAAATTTGCGCACTCGAACGCCATCTGGCTGGGGCCCCCCTGGAACGAACATCGCCCTCATATCGACGCAGACTCGCCAACGGGGCCCGACGACGCGCCCTCCCCGGGGGCCTGCGAAGAAACACTCGCGAAAAATGATTGCCAGGCGCGTCGGAACAGTTTGGCGCGATGCGTTTAGCAAAGGCACCTCGCGACACGGCGACACGGGGCGCCAGGGAGGCGAGGCGTCAGGGGCAGAGCTCCGCCTCGGGGGGCTCGAGCAAGATCGCCTGGTGGCCCATTAACGATACGTCAACAAGATGCAACGCATCCCCACGTCGGCCACCAGTTTGCCCTGCCCATCGACGCCCATGCGCGCCCTGACTTCGCCCAAAACCAGAGCGAGAAACGCCGCCTGCAACGCAGAACAGCCCCGCACCACTGCGCCCCAGCAGGCCGCCCTACTCATCGCGCCGCCCCGCGAGGGGCGCCCTGGCCATGCGCCCACAGATGCGAACGGACATGAGCGGCAGACCGACGCCCCGCCCATTAACCCAGCTCCCGCTTATCACCCTTGGCATTGGGCAGCGAACCAATTGCGCTGCAATTGGTGGGGCCATTCCACACCCCTCTCGGTCGCGTTGAGCAACGCGGCGACAGCCCCCTGCCCCTGGCCCGATAGCGCCAGCAAGCGGGAGGGGGCCCACTGATCCTAGCCGTTGCCCGAGGTCTTGGGCAAGGACATGAGGGCCGCCACCGGGCCGCCCCGGTTGCGGTGTGGACGCCCTGCTCGGCTTTCTCGCGCCAGGTGTCGCAGCTCACACAGCGCCGCCCTCAGCGCCGCCCTCAGCGCGTGCACGCGACGATGCTGGCTGGTCCACCGAGAGGCCCAGCAAGCAGCTCGCACTCCAGTGGTGGCCTGGACAGCGTCGCTGATCTCCAGGGTCACAAGGTCGATGCAGGTATCGCCCAGCGCGTGCTGCTCGTCTTTCTTGACGTAACAATGGGGCCCCCTCATGTACCCGCGTGTTCTTGATCGCCCAAATGTTGATCTCGCTGCGCGCCTGCTGCCAGGCCATGCCGGCATGACGATTGGGAAGGGCCTGAACTCGGAGCGCAACCTTCTGCCACTGGGCGACAACACAGCACTGTCGAAGCCTCATCATCATCAGGATGACCGCGTCGTCACGGCACAAACGCCACTTGCCTGATGCCTCCTCTGGCTGACTCGGGACCGGGTCCACGCGCACGACGCGCATCATTGTCCTCCCTGAGAACAGAGAGCGAAGCAGCTGCCGGACGACATCTTGCACCCGTTTTTCGCCATATGTGAGCTCTGAAACAACGGCGTCCCAAGGCGATCAAGCGTTCCTGAACCCGACCATGAAGTCCGGCCCCCTTGACGCACAAGTCACTGGCACCCGGGTGCCCGAAATTAGGGGATTGCTGCTTGGACTCTGCCTTCCTCATCTGACACTCGATCGGCATACCCCCGCGAGCCCCCCCATGAGTCTCCACTCCGCTAGTTGGCCTTCAGCTGAAACTGCCCACTGTCCGTACTGCATGGCCAGCGCCTGCGACAAGTGCAGGCTGGCGAGGTAAGCCTCGCTCGAAATGACGTCGCTTGATCCCTGCGGGAAGTGGTCTCCAATGATGGCCTGCACGTTGGAGACCTGGGGAGCCAGCCTTCCTCTGGACAGCGCTGTTTCCACTTCGAGACGCACAGGTCGTTCAGGAAGTACTCGCCGTCGTCGTCGAGAAGGCCACCCTGCTGCAAGGTGGCGTCGCCGCGTTCCCAGACCAGGCTCCTGGAGCTTGGCATGCCGTTGCTCGTCCCTCTGGCAATGCTCGGTTCCCTCGGCCACTCAAAACTCCCCTACTGGAATCTTCAGGGCGACTGACAACACGATGTTTCCGTCGGCGGCGAGGCAGAGGCAGTCCGCACCAGCGTGAGGCGAATCGTGGCAAAAGAAATGCAAATTGTCCGGCGTGCAACAGTAAGGAATGAAGACAAGGGCGGCCGTGCGAGGGGAGGCGGAGGAAGCGCTCACACGTGGGAGAGTTCCGCGAAGAGCGGCTGACAACACAAGGCTCTCAGGAACACCGAGGCTTGCCAGGACTGGATAAGGATGTTGAGGCCAATGCGGGAGCCTTGGGGCAAGTCCTGGACAGGGAGGATCCCGAAGAAAAAAAAGGAGCAGACACTGATGGGCACTACCACGTAGTCGAGCATCCTACCCCTGCCCGAGGCTCAGGAGGCTGGGGGCTGGGGTCAAGCGCTGGCTCCCAGAGACCAGGGAAAGGCGGAAAAGGGGAAATGACGGGAACGACAAACATGAACAAGGACACGGATCCAGAGAACGCCATTTCTTTTTTATGTTTAGGGTTTAGGGTTTAGCGCCTCCTCCTCCTCCTCCTCCTCCTCCTCGCCCTCCTCCTCTTCCTCGCCCTCCTCCTCTTCCTCGTTCTCCTTCTCCTCCTCCTCCTCCTCCTCCTCCTCCTCCTCCTCCTCCTCTCCTCCTCCTCCTCCTCCTCCTCCTCCTCCTCCTCCTCCTCCTCCTCCTCCTCCTCCTGAAAAAGGCCCGCGACGGGGCAAAAGCGCCACTCTGAACGACGGGGGCACAGCGCCGGTCCTCAAACGAGGCCCACGCTGCAGCGGGAACACCACTGTGAAACACCGAAGACGATCGGATGGCAAAAAGCACAAGAGACAACCGTACGCGGAGAGGGCAAGACATCTTCCGGACAGGCAGGGCCAGGGCAGAGAGGAGAGTAGCCTTTACAATGGGCAAAAAGATCGGGGGCGCGCAAACATGGATTCGCGATCCGTGGATGTGGCGCGCGGTCGCCAAATCCATGGGCGCCCTCCCCAACATGCGGCCGGTGCCGTCTCGCTCGGCGGCGGGAATCCGCGATGTCCCATGGAAGCGGGACCCGGCGCTAATCCACCACCCCCGGATCCGTGTTTGCGATCGCCCGAGAGACAGTCAACGCGCATAATAAGGACAAACGGCTTTTTCAAGGGTACCCTTGGGTCCTTGCCTGCCTCAGCCTCTGCGGCCCGTCCCTAGCAATTTTCCCAGGCCAGAATACTTCAACTTCGACCTCCCAAGGGTCTTGCGTCCTTGCCACGCGTCCTTACTATACGTTTTCACTGCAACCGGGACGGCGGCGGGGGGAGGGGACGGATGAGGGCGGGGGGGGGGGCGAGGGAAAGGGGCTCGGGGGAGCCAGCGGCCCGCCGACCCGCCCCACTCCCTCTCCGCCTCCCCCCTCCCATCGGAGAGAAGAGCAAGCGGCACAGACAGGAACGTTCGGAGGTCCGCGCGGACCTCCGAGAAGCCCGCCGGCCCTTTGGGCGACAGGTGGTCCAAGGAGGGTCTCTCTTCTCTTCCGCATCCCCTCCTCCCTTCGGGGAGGGGAGACCTCCCCCTCCCCTCCCTGAGGTTTTTTGGGAGGGATCGCGAGGTGCCGGAGGCTCCTTTTTCGGCCCCTGGGAGGGCCATTTTCTGCCACCGCTCACGAGGATCGTGGCCCCCGAGGGAGGGACCTGATTCGAACACCTCCCCTCTTTTGAACGACCGCCTCCAAGATAGCCCCAAGAGGCCCTCCAGGGCTCCCAAGAGGCGAATTAGAATGACCATGTCTTTTTGTTCCGCCCCTCCCCAGCGGGGAAGCGGGTCCTGAGGGAAACGGGCCCTGGACCCTGGCGCCTTCCTCCAACACGAGCTCTTCCCGTGGAGGGCCCCGAGAGGCCAAGAACAGGACACAAGACCAGGACCCGCTTCCCTCCGGGCCCTCTTCCCCCTCTTGTATGAAGTCGGGCCTGTCCCTCTTCAGGGGGAAACATCCCAGAAGAGTTCAAAAATAGTCTGGGGACGGTTTGTTTTAACATGTTCGACTACTTTTGCATATTTTGGGGGGGTATGTTTTATTCTTCGTCCAAAATCCCCATGTAAGGGGACATGCCCGACTTAACTCTGGCGACCTTCCCCGCCCGTCCTGGCGCATCGCCGCGCGCAGGGTGCCGGCGCGCTTGCCGGCGCGCGATGCGCCGCACGACCCCAGCAGGGCCACGGAGAGCGCGGCCAGGCGCGCCATCGCTAGCATTTTTGGGCTGGGCGGGGGGGGGCCCGCGGAGGTGCGCGGCTGCGGAGCACTCGAGCTGGGAGGGGCGCAGGGCAGAGGCGGCGAGGTCGTTTAGGGGGGGGAGGGGCGGGGGCAGGAGTAGGCAGAGGGAGAGGATGGGGAGGAGAGGGGGGGGCGAGGAGGGGGCGAGGTGGCAGAGGGGGAGGAGGAAGAAGAAGGCGAGGGAGGAGGAGGGCAGGAGGAGGAGGAGGAGGAGGAAGGAAGGACGGAAGGAAGAGGAGGAGGAGGATAAGAGGGGGGGCGCGGGGCGAGGGAGAGAGAAGGGAGGACAAACCAGCTGCGCTCGCGCCGCATCTGACGCTGCCCCCCGCCCCGTTCCCATTGCGTCGAAGCCCTCGGCGACGGGTGCCCAGAGGTGTCTGCGATCCCCGCGGCCTCCCCGACAC